TATTATGGTGCATTCCAATATTAAGTATCTACTACTTATTATGACCAAATACTAGGTAGGTATTTACCTATATAATTATATATATAATGTATTAATATGTATCCCTTAATATTTAATAATAAGGTTTATTAAAATATATTAATCACCTTTTGATGTTATGACTTAGGGATTATTTAATTAATAACAAAAATATTTCGAGAAGTACCTACTAAAACAGAAATGCTTAATTAATTGTCGACTTTTGTCGACTTAATGTTTTATTTTTTTTTTAAATATTTTAAAATATGTTAAGTGATTAATTTAAATTAATACTAGAGCTATTTTCTTAAACATGTACCTACAGTAATATTTGATTATGGGGTAAATATTTTTATTTTAGATATTTTCTTAATATCTTATGTTAGAATTTCTGTTTGTTTCATCAATATTTATAATATAATACAAAATTCAATTATTAAGTAGGTATCAATTATTACTTTTCGCCATTCATGCCATTCTTTGGCCGGTCCGGGGATGCTGTTTAGCTTAGTTTGGCATTCCACCCACATTTTTTTTTGCTATTGCCGTTGTAAAATTTATGGAAAACTTACCTTTCCTTAGATCGGGGTGGTTTTCCATAAATTCCACCAAAGCTTCTTTTTGTGACGGTGTCATCGACTTTCTCGCCATCGTACAAAAAAAAACAGTGAGTGTTGTTGAACACTCGGCAGGAACGAAGTTCAGTGATGCGAGACGCGGAAACATAATATATAGTTAGAAAAATATGAATAAATAGAGATAGAGAGAGAGAGAGACAGAGAGAGAAATGAATGCTTGTATAAATATATCGCGCGCATGGTAATAAAATTATAATAAATTTTTTCTGAGTATTATGAAAAAATGGTATTTTATTTTATAATCATTATAAAAGTACAAAGCAATTATTATGAAATTAATCAGTATTCTCAATAACAGTAACTATTGGTTTGTGGTAGCTGAAATATGTCACGTATGTTTGTGATTGAATTTTTTCTATACATATATCTCGAAAAAACTGCATCTCCAACATTAGAACACCTCAGGCTCAAAGCGTTAAAATTTTTCAGGATTAGATCCATGTTCGATGTTACAATATTAGCCTTGTCATTTTTATTGTAATAAATTCCGACTCCACCTGCTCGAACAGAATCACGCTTAAACTTAGCAATACAATCGAAATTTGGTAATTCACATTGCTCTTCATTATCTAACCATGTTTCTGAGAGTAATAAAAAGTTGCTTTTTTGTGTCACAGAGTCGTTTAAATCAATGGAATGTTTTCGCAGGCTCTGGACGTTAAGAGCTATAAATGAGACATTTTTTTTTTTTTTTTTAGATTCTGAGTGAAACGATGAATGTATTGATTTTACAATGATGTGTGTTTATTTATTTTTTTTTTTTGTGTTTGTGTACACGATAAGTAGTCGAAATAATGCTTCGATTTTCGACTTCAGTATCTTGTTCGATTGGAAAGTGAATATCGTTGGTGCATGGGGAGGTCAAAATTTAAATTTCCCAGTAGTTTTCAAAAGCGCCGGGAAAAACAAAAGAAAAATTAAGGAAAAACGGGAATTTTTATGCAAAATCAATTTTTCAGAAAATTGAATTTGGTTTTTGGTGTAGCTTTAAAACAAATGACTGTAGATACATGAAATTTTCACTGGTTGTTTATATTTGCATTTTCTATACACTATACCATTTTCAAAATATTTTGATTTATTTTGAACTGTTTAGGGACATTTTCATTTTTCATTTTTTTTTAGTTTATTTTCTAGAAATATCGATAAAATTGTATTTGTTGGTTAAAAAAACTTGAAAATTTAATACAAGGCTCCTAATATATTGTTTCAAAGGCATATGAAAAATATTAAAAATCGTTAGTCACAGTTTTTTTTTATAAGCATTTAAAGTTCAAAAATTGACAAAATATGGAAAAATCATGAAAATTAGCAAATTATTTTGAGTTAAGAATTCGTAAAAATTTTTCTTTTTAAATCTAAGATTTGAAAATCTAATACAAGATTACTCATAAGTTTGTCTACCTTTATCAATAAAAAAATCTCTACCGGACAGTCAAATTAAATTTTTATGAGTGTTTGAAATTCAAATTTTTACAACATTGGATGTTCACTCGATTTCTCATGTAGCGATTTCCTTATTTTGTTGTTATTCATAAACGAATAACTATAGATACATGAGAATTTCACTGAATGTTTATATTAGCATTTCCTATACACCATACAATTTTGAAAATATTTTGACTCTTTTTGAGCTGTTTACCGATATTTTCATTTTTCAATTTTTTTAGTTTTTTTTTCTATGAATATCAATAAAGTTTTATCTGTTGGGCCAAAAAGTGTAAAAATTTAATACAAGGCTCCTGATATATTGTTACAATATCAGTTGAAAAATGTTAAAAATACATAGGCACAATTTTTTTTTATAAGCATTTAAACATCGAATTTTGACAGAATTTTTCAAAATCTCGAAAATTATTAATCATCGTAATTAATAAATTATAAAATGTTCAGTTTTTATAGCTAAGGATTGAAAATTTAAAACAAGATTCCACGCAAGATTCTCTTACTGAAAAATCTAAAAAATATACAATCACAGTTTATTTTATAGTCATTTTATGTTCAAATTTGGACGAAATTACATATTAAAAAACCTAGTTATTTTGTTGTGATTATATAATATTATTCGTGGGTACCTACTTGAAACTTCTAAAGTGTAATATTATATATCTATGATAGTATCAGGGTTTGTTATTGATGTTGATGTATAACGTGTTATAAGGACCTAATGGATATTGTGATAATGTGATATGATTAATTTGGAATTTATAATAGGTCAATTTTTGTTTTAATACCATAGATATGTATATAATTTGTCTTAAAGACTTAAACCTAGACTGACATACCGTCTTCGCTCAGAATCGTTTTTCTTATACAATGATATACGGGAACGTCCCGTAATTCATGACAGTGTCCCGGTGTCCTCGTAACATATCCAATATCGTAAAAATGTCCCGTATTATGAAATTCTCGTCCCGTATGTCCCGTAAAACTAGAATACTTGATCGTTTAATATTTGTATAAATAATGTTCAAAATGTGTTTCCAAATGTCAAGACAAAAATATTTTTAACCACTGATTGACTGATAACATAATTATTAAAGGGCCTGCAAGTGACCTGTTATTTTGCTCAAAAACATGCCTTACAGGAAAAACCCTCATGCCTCGTAGATTTCGATATTTTTTTTTTTTTTTTTTAAAGAAACACTTCTTACAGGGCTCACTGAACCTGGATTTTCAAGATTCTATTTCTAAACCATATAATACGACTTTGAATATGACCAATTTTCACAAGATTTTATTATTTTTATTATGTTTATTTAAGCAACGAAATTAAAAATCGAAGTTCTATGAGCCCTCTAGAATATTCTCCTCTTTCTAACGAAAAAAAATTAATCAAATCAGACCAATCTACCATGCGTGAGAGTTTTTTCTGTAAAGCGTGTTTTGAGCAAAAGATCATGCATTTTATTTTTGGTCGGCGATGCCGTTGAAATGTGCGCTCACGCTCAGTGCGTGCGTAGATAGCACGATACTCGCATACAATCCCACTCACATTAATCATCATTGACGACTAACCCAAATGCAATGGGTGGCGGCAACGAAACTGCATGTCTCCCAAATATTGCCCCTTATTAAAGACACACGAGAAGGCCCCTTAAAGCATTTTTTAACAAAATAAACTTTATAAAACTTATCAGGCTATAACATACTGGGATGGTAGGTACCCAATGGCCAACGTTTCACTCCTCCCCCCCCAACCATAATTTTATTGTTTATAGTTTTGTCCCGTATTTTTTATTTTGAAATCTGGCATCCCTATATTGTATCATTGAATTCAAATTTAATAGCATCCATTATACAGTGACCCACTTGTAACCTACTGTACAGCAGAGCGACATCCACTTACCCACCTTTTTTTTATTGAACGTAAGCCCGGCAACTGTGGCCATTAGCTGTATGGTTTGTTTTTGTAGGTGTATTGTAGGGAGGAACACGTGGGTGTTGGGTTTTGGCAGAATTTTCAATTTGGGCACCCGTAGGTATCTGCCATGCCCGGGTGGGGGATGGCGGCACTTGTTCTCCGGACACCGTGACTTGCCCGAAGAAAAATGCCGCCCAGTGGCCGGGAATCGATCCGGCGTCGGTCGCGACCGCACGGCCACCTCGTCCCCAGGAGACATTTTTATTACTACCCATAAATTCAATAATTGTTTGCGCCCTTGTTTGCAGTTTATTTAAAGAAAGCCGTTTGAACTCTTGTAACAAAGATACGGTTGATACAGCTTGTACTCGATTATCGTTTTTCAAAAGTAAATTTTAATTTCATTTGTTTAATAGATTTGTATGTATATAGAGAAGAAGGTAAATGGAAATCACAACGGAATTTATAAATTTATAAATTTAAGGGGCAAAAATTATTTTGAAAATAAAATTCTTATCACTTTCCTTATCAATAAAAACAATATTTAAGAAAATCCCAATAAATCCTATCAAAAACTCAAAACCCCGAGTTTCCCCTTGGCGAGGCGGGTGTCAGTACTCTCCCGGACCAAAATCCATCAAAAAAGCAAAATCCAAAAGGGGGGGAGGAGGTGCCCCGGTTCCCTAAAGCGGAAAACGGTAGTCTTCATAATAAGAATGGGTTCCCCCTTGGTCCGAGGTCTTTAACTTGAATTCCGGCCGAGTTACACTCAACTCAAAATGTGGGGGGGGTGGGGGCTTTGGTTCCCTAATGTTGAAAATTCATCTGGGGCCTAAAAAATTGAGATGCCCATTGGTCCGGGGTCTCTAAGTCGAATACCGGCTAAGTTATGCTTCGTCAAAAATAATTACTCTCTTAATGGGGGCCGCCAGAATCACTTCCAGTTCACTTCTTGATCGCCACCATCAGTCGCAGGTTGTTCACGTATGCTCCGCGTTGTCTTCCGCTGAACCGCAGTCAACACATTCCGGGCTCTGTCTTTTCTTATATTTCGTCAAATATTGGCCAAAGCAACCATGACCGGTTAGCATCTGTGTTAAATGGAAGTCGCAGTTGCCATATTTCCTCAGCAGCCAGTGTTTAATGTCTGGTATTAGCCGTACTGTCCATTTTCCCTTGTCTGAGTTCTTCCACTCATCTTGCCATTTACGGATGGTAGCGTTCCGCTCTTCCGCCTCGTTGAATTCAATGCCTTCACATCTGTTTATGTAGCGTTTTTGTTGCTCCATTGCCAACAGATGTGCTGGTACCATACCGCTGACGACCAGCGCTGCTGCCTTCGACACCGTGCGGTATGCCCTCACATATCTTAGGGCTATTTTCCTTTGGGGTCCCTCTATCGTTTCGACATTGGTCGTGAAGCTCAGTGAGCCTGCCCAGATTGGCGACGCGTACAACAGCTGGTTCATCACCACCTTTGCTAGAAGTCTCCTCTTCTTCTGGCTGGCGCCTCCCATATTCGGCAGAATCCTTCCTAGCGCGGCTGCCGTTGCTCCGGCTTTCGCGGCGACTGTTTTAATGTGGTGCCTGTATCCGAGCCTTTTGCACAACGATACTTCCAGGTAGCCTACGCGAATGGAACCCGGTTGCCAGATGGTACGATCCTAGTGGTGACATACGATAATATGAGAGGAGGGGATATGTAAGCCGGCAGCCGAGCAGGCAGGCACAGCCCCCCCACTCTAAATGTTGCGTTTTTCAGTGTTACGCTTTTCGGTGTTACGCTTTTCGGTGTTGCGATTTTTTTCCAGCGACTCCCATCCACCTAACGCCCCATAAGGAACTTCGTTCCAAAAAAAAACAGAAGTAAAACAAAAAGAGACACAGGGATCGAGAACGGAAAGGTCGCTATAAAAAAAAAAGAGTGTAATATTGAAATATTATTTTGTATTTTGAATTTCCACTAATTGCGCGTGCTCATACAAATTTCGACCAATGAACGGACGGCATTGCGACGTTGCCGTTCCGCACCATTCGAATAATATTCGTGCACGACCGGTTCTATTACCAACTATTCTATTGGCGTTCAAGAATACGGTTTTGAGTTGGTAGTAGAATATCTACCAGTAGAATGGTTCGTATACGAATATCGTTCTACTACTTTCAAGAATAGGCCCCCAGGCGGGATCAGACCACTGGGCGAAAAAGGAAGAGAATCTGCGGACAGCTTCGCAACGTGCCGCTGTCCTGATACTGTCTGTGGTTTTCGCCCTGGCGTCGCGCACCGCCGAACTCTGAAACGTTTCGTTCCCTCGAGCCCGGCGCTGCTGACTTCCGTGGGTCCTGGCCACCCCGTAATCATAGTCATCCGTCACTCACCCGCCGCGAGGTCTGCGGTCTCCGTCGCCGCCGTCACGAGTCGTCTTCGTGCAGCACCGCAGCAGGTGTCGTCACTGGTACCGTCGGGACGGTGTCGTTGTCCGCGCCGGTACCGCAAGCCGTCCGTCGTCGTGTCGTCGTCGTCGCTTTCGGACCGAAGCAGCCGGGCGCCCGCCGCACCGCCAGAGGGTCTCGCGTGTCCGCGGCGACCACGAGCGCTCGACGTCCGCGATCTCGTCCCGCTACCGCAGGTCCGGGCTGGAGAACGTGTATCGGTGACTTACCGCCGATCACCCCAAAAGTGCACTGTCACGTACCTATATATACCTCGACCCCACTTCATCGATTTGTCCGCTGCCCTCGGCCAGGGGGGAAACTCTCGGACGGTTTCACTTCGGGAAACAACAGCAGCAAACGCGTACGGCCTTCTTCACACCTCTCCACACAGCGGACGCGATCCTCGCCGCCGTCCGTCTGCGCGGAGCTGCGCGTGTTGCTGGCGTTGCCCCCGGGTCCAGCCTGCCGATCGAGTCTCCATAGCTGTTCTTGACCTCAGCTCCCCTGGCTGGTGTGACGAACTCCGCCTCGTCACTGGGCTTTTCCACCGCCGCCACCTGCATGGCTGGTTCAGCGACCACGTCGTCTCCGATCCGTTCAACCGGTCCAGTACTGGATTCGTTGTCCGGTTGAAGGATTTCCGCCGAGTCGCCGCCCGCGAACTGAGTTGCGTAAAACAAAAGACCCGCTAGATCCTCGATGGTCGGCTCTTCATCAATGTCGTCGATTCGTCTTAGATCTTCCTCCATCAGCTCGTAATCAATGTTGTTAATGATTTTCTCCAAGACGTCCATGATGATTTCTTCAATCTCGTGGGTCGTTTCGTTCTCTTGTGATTCAGCCATTTTTTCCAGGTAAATTGTCAGCGCGTTGGTAGTCAGAATTGCAAATGAGACGATTTCGAATTTAGTCCTAGGCCGTCGCCGATGATTCAAAACAAACATCGTTTGTTAGTAGCCAGCGAGTAAACCAACATAGTATTAATAATCGACCTGCAGCTGTGGCATCGGCTGGATTTCGAGCCCGTTTATTTTTCCAAACACCATTATATTTTGTATTATGTTATTTGCATTATACTATACAGATTGTAACAGATAGAACTGACTTTTGGAATAACCTTTGTTCTAATCAGTACTTAAAATTTTTTTTATATGTAATTTATAGTTACTCGCGCGGTTGCGCTGCGTTACACATATATTAAAGAAAAATTATTTTTATTTTTTAACACTGAAAATAAAAAATTTTAATTTGATTTAAATTTTTTGGATATACTCAAAATAGCCAATTTGTGGTTATAAGAACAATATTAATAGAAAAAACATTTATCTAAGTCAAGTAGTTTATTTTTTAGAATTTTTTAAAATATCAATAGTTTTAACAATTTTTGTCATACCTACATTTAAGTAGGTATTACATTTTTATTTTTCGTCATGTCTTTGAGTTACACCTTGTATAAACGTGTTGTACTCGTCTTATACTTTTATAGGTGAAGTAGTCTTTTAGATTCTGATTGTAGAGATTAATGCGTATTAAGATTTTACAACTATGTGTTTTTGTGTATGCGTATCGTTATATGGTAAAAAAAATGTTTTGTTCAACAACATTGGGGATGATTTCTGACCGCAAATTGGATCTATAGTTGGTAGGTATGGTAGACACAGATACTGATGTGTGCTAGTACTATTTTAAATCATGTTCCTAACGAAAATATGTTATCAGTTTCAGTTATAGTTATCATTTATCGGTGTTTTTGAATTTTTTAAATTTTTTATACTAATTATCAAAATATGTGGTCTCTTTTGATTCGTGTTGAGCTACTTAGGTATAGGCATAGGCAATAGTTGACTATTTTAGGTTTTCCTTAATTTATGTAGATAAAAAATATTTTGCTGCGTCAAGTAACTTAAAAATGTAAATACCTACATTATGTATGGTCTTATACCCAGTATATTATTGTTAGTGAAAATTAAAAAAAAAAGTTGAGCTTAAATCCACTATAGTATTTTTATGAGCGTCTGAAGTTAGAATTTTGCCAACTTTCATAAAAATCACTAAAATTTGAAAACTATTTTGAGTTAAAAATTCATAAAAATGTATATTTTTATTCGAAAATTGAATATATATGACTCATTTTTAAATCTTAAATTTGATAAATTTTGTAAACAATTGAACTTTAAATGCTTATAAAAAAAAAATTGTTAAAACGTAGGAATTATTAATATTTTTAAACAGCTATCTAAGAAATATATCTGGTCAGGCGCCTTGTATTAAGCTTTTACGCTTTTTTACCCAAAAAATAAAATTTTATTGATATTTAAAGAAAAAAAAACTAAAAAAATTGAAATTTGAAATTGTCCGTTAACTGCCCAAAACAAGTCAAAGTATTTTGAAAATTTTATCAATTATTTGAATTGACAAAATAAACATATTATGATATAAATCTCAAGTGTCCAAAGTTATTATTTTTTAAATTACAACAAAATAAGAAAATCGCTACATGAGAAATCGAGTGAATATCCAATGTTGTAAAAATTTGAATTACAAACGCTCATAAAAATTTAATTTGACTTTCTTATAGATATTTTTATTTTGATAAAGCTAGATAGCCTTATTAAGCATCTTGTAATAAAAAAAAAATAATCTAGAAATAAAATGTATAATTCACATTCACTACGTGTGTATTACATACACGACCACATATTTTTTTAAATTTTCGAAAATGAATGTCAAACTTTTCAATCTTTTATACCTATTGTAGCATAGAGTAAAAAAAAAATTTATGTTTGACAAAAAAACCAAGTTTTATGAAATATACTATAAAACATGCATTTTTCGCATTCTTATAATCGAAATATGCAATAGTATGCATTTTATCTAAAATATGCAAAAACATGCAAAATAAAAATACCACCATTTATCTCATCATGAGGTGATTCTTGGACATTACTGACTAAATCAATAATCAGAAGTCACAAAAAAAACATGCTGTTGCATATAAATCCTAGCCCAGCTCATAACTCACTGACTGAGAAACATAATATTATGTGGGTACGATAGTACGACTCGAGTCCTTAGAGAACGTTATACTCACATGATGGGTTGTCCCCAACTTAGCAAATCTTAAGTTTAGAATGTAATAAATTTAATTGTTTTACATTTAATATTATAATACAGTTAACGTATCTACTGTCAAATTTATATTTAAGGCTATTATCTATGGCAGTGGTTCTTAACCTGTGATCCGGGGCCCCTTGGGGGTCCGCGATACTCATGTCAGGGATCCGCGGCAGCCTCAACACTTAACATACATCAATAAGTGACAGAGTGTATTATTACAATATTATTGGACTATTATTATTTTTTTCATAATATATAATATGTAGATTCTACACCAATTAATTGTATTATTAGTATTTATTAAGTAGTAGGTAATCAGTTTTTCTTGTTCATACGAATTGTACATGCGTACAGCACTGTAGTCTCGGCAGTCTTATATTTATTACCACTATAATTGCAGTTGATCGATCGTAGTATCGTACTCAACTATAGTTTTATATTACATTTACATAAAATAATACATAATACATACATTAAACTGTACATCGTACAGTTGAAAATCTCGAAATTTTTTTGAATAAGATATTTTTTCAAGTTGAGGCACATAATTTGGGTATTGATTTCACTTCTTTATTAAGCCCCAAATTCTATTTTTTCAACCGTGTCCCTTTTTGGCACAGAACTTTGAGATTGATTTCACATCTTTATTAACACCAAAGTTCTATCTTTTCTCCCAATCTCTTCAACTTACGCACAGAAAGCCTTTTTTACTTCTCCGAAGTAGTTTTTTTGATTATATATACGGTGTAGGTAGGTATACAATATAAAATATATAATAATATAGACAACGATTTACAACGAACAGTTTTAATTTTAAAATTCGTGTTATATATTTTGTACTTACCCTATATATGCGTATATATATACAGTTATATGTATACAGTATCATAAGTACCTATATATATATACACACACAGTTGTACACACGAACCTACAACAAATAATATTGTATATCGGAATTATTCGTATACTATTATATTATATGTATGCAGTGATGTAGTCCTAAAAAAAATCATGGGTACACGCCTCAATCATTGTAAAAAATAACTTGGGGGGCTACGCCCCCCAAACCCCCCCACTCACCTCACCATTATTCGATACTCATACATTACTTCATCTATTTGTCTATATAATATACAATAGAACCTCATAAATTATGATTGGTATATTTTAAGCTCAAATGGATATTGGAAACGATAACTGATAACTGGAAACTGGACAAAACAACAATAATGTAAAAGTTACCAATTAATGATTTAAAAATAGATCTGTGTACGCGTTGGACAGCCGCTTCACGATGGTAAAAGAGCCGACCCCGCGTAGCGTACCGCGCCAACGTTTTCTGAATACGGGTAAACAAGGATCTAACATCATGTTGGTTATGGGATGTCGGGCTCGACGGGCTCGTTTAGTCGTTTCCTAGGTTCAGACTTCAGATCATAATTTATTTAGTAGCACGCTTAGATCATATGTGATCTAAGGTAGCACGAATCACGAATTAAGATCACGGACTAAGATATACAGGACTGGACACGAGATGAATATTGTGGTTACGAAATGTAGTACAACAGGCGGAGTTCGGGGGGATATTTTCCTTTTAGCATTACTACCGCCGTCTTAGTGGATACTTATGGAACTAAAAATTTGTATGATGTGTTCTAGTTCCATAAGTATCCACTAAGACAGCGCTAGTAATGCGTGGTCAACCCCTCACACCCTCCGACCTTGTAGTGTCCAGTCCTGTATATCTTAGTCCGTGATTAAGATAGTACTATCTTAATTCGTGTTTAGTAGGTAAACGTAAATCAGCTGATCGATTTTCGCTTCTATATCTATATTGTTCTATGACAATAGTAAACAAATTAGTAATTACACTTATTTTTTTTTTTTGTTATTAAATAATAAATATCAAAATTTAATATATTATATTACCCAATAATATTTCCTAAATAAATTGTATTGACTAGGTAACGCTTATACGTATTGTTCATGGTCCGTGTACCCGCGAACCACGATTTTTGTTAAGGGTACACGCATTAATCTTAAATTGGGAGGTGAGTACACGCCGTGTACCCGCGTGTACCCTCCACTACACCACTGTATGTATGCTTATACGTATCTGTATGGAAACGACTATAAATTATTATATTACAAAACGTGTTATCAATAATACCTAATATTATGTAATATTAATTTCGTTTCGAACTGTTTATCAAGTATTTGCAACAGTGGGTGAGCAGGTGTTTTTCGCCGTGGATTCCGTTGCCGTTGGCGAGCCGGTGCTGGTGCTGGTGATGGTTGTGGTGGCCGTTCTCGTCCGACTTGTGCGACGATATCTCTCGCGTGTACACGTCCAGACCGTACTGGCCCTCTTCCGGGAACCCGATCAGGAACGTGATGAAATCGTCCACGATCGTGTGCGATATGTACTTGGACAGCCGTTTCTCCTCCACGCCGTTCTTGTGCAACGTGGCCATGAAATCCGTCAGCGGCTTCGACATCCGGAACTGGATTTCCAGCTCCCGGCCGGCGAACACCAGTGGGTCCTTGATTTAAAAAAAATAAGAATAAATAAATGTATTCGATATCTATATCCGTATATGACATTAAATTAAAAGTGGTATGTGTTCAAAAATATACAAATCTACTGAATATACTCTGTACCTATATACCAGACAATCGTTAAACTTTTACCAGTCTTGTTAAGTATTCGAATACCTACTTGTGTTTAAATACTTTTTTTTTATTTCAAATACTTTTCAAATACTTTTTGACCAATGTATTTTAAACACTTAAAAACACTTTTTTTCTGCATTTTTATTTTAGAATACTAAATACATTTTTAATTCTCGTGGTATACTCCAAATTGCAGTTACTAGATGTACTATTTTAAATTTTGTTTCTACAATATTGTTTTAAAATGTTTTTAGCTTCTGATAATGTATAAATTAAATTTCGCCAAAATACTAGCAGATAACAAAATGACTAAACACTGAAACCCCCGTACTCCCATAATGACATATACAAGACACTGACCACCACTGGTTGGATTGACATTTATCTTTGATCTTTAAATAGGCTTTCTTCTTATTTAATGGGTGGTACTGGGGCAGTAGTTTCTAATTTAAATATAAGATTTTAGTGTTAATGTTAATGAACTTTTTTTTTTTTGTCATATTTAATTTAGTTTGTACAATCTTTTTAAAATATTTATAAGCACAATAGATGGAGGGATACGTAAGAGGGTTTGGTTGGCCTGATTAAAGAAACTATTCAATAATAATACTTCGTGGCGTGGGTAGTATTGGTTAGTCGACTTGTTAATGAATTGATTGAATTATAGATTATTCATTATTCGTCTATTGAACTTAAAAAAAAAAATATCTGTTTAAGTATTTTGAATACTTTTAAAAGGTATTTGTATTTATATTTAAATACTTTTAAAAGAAAATATTCGAATACGTATTCTGCAGAATACATTTGAAAAGTATTCTTAACGAGACTGATTTTTGCATATTATATATAATATATTACAAAGGCATTAGGTGGGTACCTGTACTGCACATGCGTTACATACCTGATGTGATATGGGTATGAGGCCAAAGAGCCGAGTGGCCTTTGTAGGACCCCACTCGCCGCTGGCGCAGTCGGGCAACGGCACCATGACGGTTTGCAGTTCTTCACAAATGATTTTGAACTTGCATACGCTCTTAAACTTCATCGGCTCACCGGTCAGATACTCCTTGGGCGTCACCGAATTGGCGAATATGTCCAACAGGAACGCTCCGCTGTTGGGCGCGTGTACGCGGAAGGACACGATATTGCCCAAGACAGACTTGAACCATAAACACACACACACACAGACGTATATTATTATAATAAAATAAACGCGAAATATTGTTAATTACACCATAATAATATTATGTTACACATATCGGCCTACTGGTTCCCTTAAATACATACAGTGGCGCCGATCCCTATACCCAAGTATGGAGAGTGTCATAATATGGTGAATTATATCTGCGAACACATATTACCAATCAATAGGTGGGTAGATTACCTACTATTAAAATTTGATATACTCGCCATAGTGATTTTTTTGTAGTTCGGCGCCACTGCCTACATATTTAAGGGAACCAGTAGAATACAATTCGCATATAATTAAATAATATATAGGCGCGTATTATAGAAATTCACGGCCAATGCGTCGTGACCTAAATCACCTAATGTCCATATAGTGATTATAATGTAATAAAGTGAACTCAGATTTTCAAAATACAAAATATATCGACAAGATTTTATGCAACCATATTCAGGCCTCTAAAGTTAAAAAAATTCTTCACAATTTCATATCCTCCGTAATAACGTTGATAACCAATTCTTTAACATTTTTGAATACATAAATTTAACTTAAAAAATTAACAACTTCTGTATAAATGTCTATTATAAAATAAGTATATAAGTATAGAAACATCTTATTCGATGTTAATACACTTAATTGATATTTCATACTTAATACTAGATATATACTTGATAGAAATAATACATGGACCTAATATGAACAACGTAATTAAACAATGTACCTACTTCATATCAAATAATTTATCATTATTTTAATTACATAATATGGTACCATATGGTAATATGGTAAAGACCAGAACGAATTATGCAGGAAATTTAGAAAAAAAAGCCAAAGTAAATTTATTTGTATTTTAATTAATACCAGGACACTTGACTTAAAAACAGAACGGCCAAGTGCCTATATCCCTGCAGGATATCCAAGCACCATGTATGCCTATATATGTATATAGAACATAGCCACTGTATTATAGTTGTAATGGATTTATATTTTATTTGTAATATAACAATATAAAATAAAGTTTTATGTTCTATATACCTGCATGACAAAGCGCTTCAAGCTCACTCCGTCGTACGTGTCCCCTTCGCTATCGTAGAATTTCAAATTGTAATGGAATATCAGGTTGGACTGCATGTTGGTCGGTATCGCTATTCGCACTGTAGCGGCTCCTGAAATCGTAAATTTATAAATATCAGGTGCGAAAGTTTTGAATAATATTTTCACGCCCTCCTGGTTTCGCACGGAGGCAAATGTAACGCGATTATAATTTATTAAGGACATCATCGCATATCGCATACACCGGAAGAAGTGCGATCATTACAAAACCGCTGCACCGGATAGAATATCATTATTATATTTATTACTTTACTTGGTTATTAGAACTTGACTCGCCAAATAATTATCTCGATTCTCTAACGTCACTAATTGACCACGGCATCAATTAGTGTTCGACGAAACCAATAACGATATTAATATAATACATAAAATATTATATTATAAAAATAGTATAGTAATACGAGCTTGGCGTATGTGTGTCCATATAAATCTATATCTAACACCATCTGATTTTTTTTTTTTATCTATTTTATCGTGACGCCTAAAAAAATATGCGTATTTTAATTTATGGCCCGCCCAACGCGTATGGTCGAAAAAAAAAACGAATTAATTTTAAACCGTCCACACGCGTGGGTCGTATCTATATTGAAAATACAACAAAACTATTTGAAAAGAACCAAATATATTATACGCGCGAGTTTGGTTGGTAGGTATACAAATTAATGTTTCCGCCTTTCCGGTATATACACCGATGGAACACTGCAAATCTATGCCACGCAAAAAATACTGTTTCCTGGGTTAATATATATTATACACTGTCATTATAGAAATCCACTTTTGGTGGTCTTGTATAGGTAGGTACGTATATATAATATTATTTTGCCGATTTACCACGCTTTTTAATGTAGAAATCTCTGGATTGACGAAAGTCTTATTAGAATTGCGAGGCATTCGACAGGATTTAGTGTAGCGTGTTGCGAGACGACATCGATTTGCATAATTTATAATATTACAGGTATAGGTCGTATCATAAATATCGTATTATAATATAGACTGCACAATATCATTATACGCTAAACTACCGTGCGGTTATATTATAGCTTAAGATAACCATTTGTCATTTAAGGTAGGTTATTGGGAACTTGGGACTTTTGATTTTGCTATATAACAATAAGTCTAACTAATCAACTCTAGGGGTTAATTTTCATTACGTAGAAGTTACTCAGGAAAACCAGCTCTGCTTGAATAAAAAATTATTGTCAAAATTGTTCATAAATATGTGTAATGAATAATAATGTAATATAACGTATAAACATAGGAATTTTTTTATTATTTGTTTCGTGATTTTGCATTCAGTAGTTGTAAATTAAAATTAATTTGTTCAGTCAAATGCACCTATACTTAAGCAAGTTAAAAGTAAAGTTACTTTCTCATTAGTCTAGGTAATTTGTTAATTTATGATAGACAATAGGTTGTATAGTACCGCAACTACTTATATTAGTTTATAGGTACTTTATACTAACTACGTGATATTATTTATGGACCGTCGTAACTCATATAAGTGCATTATATGGGGTCTTATTATGTTGCTATATATACTCTACACTTTAAGGTTTAAAATGTTAAAATAATATGAATATTGAATATGTAATATGTATATGTATATAACAATAACAATAACAATTTAGTAGACTAGTAGTAATAACAAGTACGCAGTATCACCTTAATTAGTCATTACTCATTAATTATACCATATTTCCATATTTTTATGGGTACAGTTATATTTTATTTATAATATATAAGATATATAAATTAGTAAACTACCTACCATAAAAGTAATTAAGTCATAATATTATACAGGTATAATATATTACCTGTTGCGTCCGTATACATGACAGCTTTTGTGTTGGAGTCTGGGAAGTAGAGGCCGTATCTAAAGAACAGAGATCTGACGAATGGTAAATCCTCAAAATCTCGTTGAGTTATAGGGTTTTTGAGTAACTGCCATTCGGGTTGCAGTGGAAAAAACTCGTAGATAAACTCTCGTGGGTCCGTTAGGAAGTAATGGTCGTCATATTCATACCTGCCAAGTATCGTATTGGTATTAAATATTAATCATTAATATATTATTATGTAATATAAAAAAAGGATAACAACAAAAGTATGTGTCCTATTATCATAGGCATTTAATTTTTTTTTTAAGCAGGTATCGTAAAAAACACACTTTGAAGTTTAAATAAGTAATAACTTTATAATAGTTATCATTTAAATAAAACATTTCTCACTTTAATTCAAGTATAATATATATCGACATTCGACAGTGAATGTAAAAGTATAATTGTGAGTATACAACTTCTCAATTGACAAATTTGAGTTATACATAGATTCATATGTAAAAATGGACGAGGAATCGAATGGCGTGGTAAAATTGTTATTTTGTAATTGTATTTCCTTTGTTAAATATTGACAAATTTCAAATTGACTCAAAACGTACCAATTCCTCAAATTGTACAAAACGTACTATTTACAAAGTAGGCCATATTGTACTATTTCCCATAGTATGAAGATAGGAATATAATTGAGTTAAACACATAACGTACTATTTCCACTGGTAATTAAAAATAGAAAATCGTGATTTCTCAAAAAAGTGTAAAATGGAAATAGTAAGTTTTGAAATGTCGCCCCTCAATTTAGGTATTTTAAAATACATTAACTATAACATGTAAGTTATAATTAAAAATCGTTTTCGTAGGTAATAAATATATTATATGCTCCATAGTACATTTACAGGATTGAAAGCTGGTAGGTACCTACTGATGTAGTGATGTCTACTGACATGGAAATCGTTTCATGGTTCAAGACTTGAGACGTTAATAATTGTTATGAGAGTTGTTACTTATGACTTATTAAGTAGGTATAGGTAGGACAGGTACCTACCTACCTCGTACCTATTCACGCGTTGTAAATTGTAATGTCAAACGAGTAGGTAACGTTATTTGTATGATGAAAACGTGAAAAAGTCCTTAAATAGCTAGTCAAAATAAAATCCGTTGCCAACCTTAAGCTGTCGGATTTTCCTTTGGCTCCCACTTTGGGCACTTCTTTGGCGTTGACTAGATGCCGTGCGCCCCAATTGCATTGCACGAACCGCCATGCGCCGGCTACGTAGACGGCGTTCCACGAGTTTCGGAACCGACTGTCTTCGAAATGAACACCTGGTTGGTAACCGGCTGACTTCGAGTAGCCTTTGATGACGACGCAGTGTAAACCAGCATAGCTGCGCATACAATTTTTTTATGAATTTTAGGTTGGTATAGCCCGGTATAGGGTACACGGTTTCAAAGTATATCAACGAGAGCTGATCGTTATTATAATCAATGTATAGGTATATTATAGAATAGAGCATTATTTATATAGACACGTCACGTCTGCAATTACCTTTAAATAACACAATTATGACGATAAAATATAAACGTTAAAATATAATATACCTAAACTATGCTAAATTACAAGGCTGGGCATTAACGAGTTAAAAATTAAAATTAAGTTACAACGTTATGTTAATTAACTCGTTACTTTTTTTTCAAATTAACTTTTAACCTATTAATGTTACTTTCTTACGATTGACGTGTTAACATCAACTTAATTTTATTCAAAAGTATCTAAATTTTCGTCCGAAGAATAATGCAATTTTTTAATGAAGTTTTTCCTTTGATGTATCATTTATAAATTTCCCCAGTAATTTTCTTGAGCGTAAAGAAAAACTATCTAATAAACCATAGGTATTATGTGTTTGGAATTTTTTATTTTTGCAAATTAGAAAATTTTAACTTAAAACTAAGTTAAGTTACTTTCTTTCAAAGTCAACGAGTTAACGAAAAAAATATGAATAACTTTTAACTTTATTATTTAAAAAAAACTATTAACTTAGGTAACGAGTTACAAAAAAAATGGTATACTTGCCCAGTCTTGCTAAATTATATATAGCGTACCAAAGTGTTTCGGACGGTCTTTGGCATTAAATTAAACATTCAACAGTATAGTATTAAACCTAATTATAATACGTGTAAAGCGTAAAGACCACTACAGTGTGATGATTGTTTTGTAAACGTACCTGCACAGTCGTTTGAACAGTACGTGGTAACTTTCCGTTCCGTGTTTGATACCTCTGAGCAGGCCCATTGGAGTGTCACCCCTCAGATTGTCATCGAAATTCATTGTATTCAAGTTTTTGACAGTAATCCATCGGAAAATCGTCCTAGACAACAACAGTCGCGACAAAAATTTTAATATATTATTTACTGTTTAATTTGAATAGCGAACACTGGGTTAGAATAAAAATATAGAGTACATTTATAAACAAATTGTATGAATTAGATACCTGCAGTTTTTAAGAAAATAAATCGAATGCAGTTATGATATTATCAAAATCTAAAATTATTCATTATCTATTTTTATATTTTCTATGTATACAATAATTAATAAGTGCTATTTAATCAATGGTACTACTACTACAACTAAATGCTTAGGTACATATAAATTAACTTTTTAAGAATATTATTTATTATATGATATTATATATTACCTGGCTTTTTCTATGTCTGAACCGCATTTTCCCACCAACATCCTTACTAAATCTGTAAAGGTTTTTTGGTCTTCTTGCGCTACCTGTGAAAATCAAAAAGATTCAATATAAATATATATTATATAATATTATTAACTCATTAAATTGAAAAATTTAAATTGTTATTTATGTATTACACACATTTTTATATTACATTGTTTATAAGAATTTATTTTGTTCTATTCTGTGAATATTTAAAGATTATTTTTAGTAACACAGTATATTACTATTTTTATTTATTAAAATGTCATAAATAATGATGTTATTTTATACGTCATAATCGTATATACGGTGGGAGTTATGGGATGGACCCCCCCATGATATTTTTTACTACCTATAGAGAGCACTACCCTGCAATTTATCTTAGACAATAAAACGAATATATATCCCCCTCCCAAATGAAAATTTCTGTCTACTCCACTGATTGTATATTTATATATATACGAGGGATTAACAGTTAGTTATGACAGCAGGCAATAGTTATAAGTTATAATATATAATGTAATATAATGATGCTCATAAATCGTAATACCTAGTGGATAAAATATAATTTATAAACACATCAAAACTGCTGTCAAATATATTCGTTTTAATATTTCTCAAGAAACGTAGAAATGTAGCGCTAAACGTTATTGTATGTTTTCTTGTCATTGTATACTATACCAGAACGAATCGAAAATAAAAACGGTTTTAATAACGGAAACTATCGTTTGAAAAGGATCATCAAAGTCTATAAACAGAGTGTTTAGTCACTTTTTTCCGTGTTATAATGCCTACCTTGGGTTATACACCTACTTCAGTCATCGTACCGGGTAAGCTTTTTTTTCAAACGAGTTCAAAAAAATCACTGTAAAATATTCTAAACGGATAAACCATCATCTATTAAATAGACATTATTACTTTGCAGGTACTTCGTTGCTATACATTTTTCAATTACTATAGAATTTATAATAATGCATAGTACCTAGGAAGTACCTATAGCTATTATAAAAAAAAAAAATGTTGAGTGTTAAAAAAGTATTGGTTGCTTTAATGTAGGTAACGTTAGTTTACGTTACTAGAATTTCTTTTTGAGCTCTACAAATCATTTAGGTTTATAACTACATCACTCTTAAACTATTACGCTTACTGACCTGTGTTATATTATTTTAAAATTGGATTAATTTAATATGGTTTTCTGATAGATTTCGAATACTAAATATTTTAGTATTATATTGTATTTTATAGCTCCTTTTAATTACTAGGTATATAGACTATTCATCTAGTACGTAATATTATTTAAAAAGGAGTAAGACAGTTAACAGGTAGCAATAGCTCAATAGGCAATAGCTGTAATAAAATTATTAAAATGTCATGTTTTATTGTTCGTATAGCAAATGCTAAAATAATATTCGTATTCTATATATAATATATATAGGTAGGTAACTGACAATACATTATATATATTTTAATTTACGGAGACATAGAGTGAATGTTTGATCGATTATGATCATTTTTATTATTTACAGGTTTTAAATACTTTTTTAAATTAAATTAAATTACCTGCAGTTCGTATTAATTTTTCACTTTAATAAAACAAATACAGGCATATAATAGTTTACCATCGTGTTGGAAATCATTGGGGTCCATACAATATGTTTAGGTATACGATTAAGTACGATATAATAATATTTAGGTAAGTACATAGAAGGATTAAGAACCACTCAGTATACACCTACCAGGATCAAACAAACAAACATTACTTGAAATTAATGGTTATCATATAAATTTAATTATAATTAAAACCCTAACCCGTGTAAGTAAAGGTTGATAGGTGTTTTTAATTCAAAAACAAGATAAATCGATAAATCGATAAATATGATAAAATTAATTGTGTTTGATTAAATTTGTAGGTACCTATTCTCATTATTACATTTTACTGTTCTGTATCTCGGCACGATTATCACTGTTAACACAATAATATTATATAGTACCTATAATAAAATTATTAATGGGGATTGCAGGTCGAGTGTTGACTGTTCAAATATACCTATAACCTACAGATATGTCCGATTGTAGTATTTTATTATGATGGTGTACTTGAGTAGCCTGCAAATAGGCATATAATAACGCGACAAGTGGTTGACGGGAAAAAGAGCACGGCGACTTATAGCGATACGACTTACGGACGGTTGCCTAATGCCTATACGTGCTCAAATTTTGTTCGAAACACCATACAAAATAAATTGCAAAACTGGGAATTAATGAGTTAAAAGTTAAAATGAAGTTAAAACGTGAAGTTAATTAACTCGTGACTGTTTTTTCAAATTAATTTTTAACTTAATAAGTCACTTTTTTTGTCAAGCTTAACGTGTTAACTTCAAGTTAGTTTAAATTTTTTAATGGATTTTTAGTTTGATGTATCATTTTAAATTTCTCCAATAATTTTCTTGAGCGTAAAGAAAAACTATCTAATAAACCATATTAATACCTATACTATTTGACTGGAATTTTTATTTTTGCAAATTAGCAAATTTTAACTTTACACTAAGTTAGAGTTACTTTTTTTTCGAAGTTAACTTTTAACCTAACGAGTTAACAAAAAAAATACTAGTAACTTTTAATTTAACTTTATTATTTTAAAATAACCTTAACTTAATGACTTAAAAAAAAATCGTTAACTTGCCCAGCCTTGCAAAATTGATGTAATAATCAGGAAAATCAGTCCTAGAAAACTTGTATCAAGCGCTACAATCGATTCAAACCCAATATCCTTTTGATCGATAAAATACCCATACCTAGAATATTATGCGGTCTTGTCTAGAACTCGCTATGCTTACGTGCGATGTTTTAGTACCGCCGCCATACCTTTACCTACTAACTTCTGCTGTTAGATAAATATTTAATGGCAATTATTGCAGCTTCCATGAACATAATATTACATAATATTTAATATCATTCGTAATATTATTTATATCGGGGTCTTACCGATATGGCGATCTGGTCGATGTGCGCAAATTCCAACGGGTCCGAGTACAGCTGGAACTTTGCTTGGGCCACGCCGTGCGGCGACGGGGGCAGCGGCGCCTTGCCCGGGTACGGTTGCACGTTGTCGTTGAGCGCCTCGGCCGTCTCGTCCGGTATCGTCGAGTCGTCCAGATAAAGCGATTCGGCCATCATGTACTCGCTGCGCTTCTCGTTGATCAGCTCCAACATTTCGCTGCTCTGCTTCTCCACCAGAGCCGCAGTGGCAGCTCTGCAAACGACAACGATTATTATGAGTTATTATGAGGACCGGATTCGTATGCACAACAAATCCTCAAAATATGCATTTATTTTTAAGTAATATATGCAGTTAAAATTGAATCGAAAATATTATACTTAAAATTATGTAAAAACCACACTTCTAAAAAAACATTTAAAAAAAAATATAATGAAAATTTACTGATGAAAAATTTAAAAGTGTGTGGTGCATCATACAAAACATTTAAGCCGAGCTATAAGTCTCACATACACTTCTTTGTTCAATCATGTTTATAAGATAGTGACTGGGGTATATGTCAAGTGTAAGAGCACCACACACTTTTAAATTTTTCATTATTTTTTTTTTAAATGTTTTTTTAGAAGTGTGTTTTTAAAATTTTTTTTTATTTTTTTATTTTCTACTTTTTAGTTAAAAGTAAATTTTTTTATTAAACGTATTAAAGTATTTATGAAACAAATTTCTTATATTTAATAAAAAGAATCAAACTACTGATGATTATGATTTATTAATAAATAAATAAGTTTATTGGGTCGTGAAATAACAAGACTTTTATTTTGTTTCACACAACAAATTGAAATTTTTTTATATGAAAATCTTTTTTGTATTTTAACAACATTATTCTGTTATATGCTGTATGGCTAATTTACTTCAGTACGGCGAGTAATGGTTAGGTTAACCCGCCTTGACCCAGAGAAACCCTTCGTACCTGTACTTCCTCGGAGATGACTTTGCGCACCCGTCATCGCCGACCTGGAGGTCCGGGTCCCAAAATAACAACGGATTATTGTATTGTCATCCAAGACTAAGGTATATACCAATTTTCAGAATTTTTCATCATCAAAAAGTGCCTCAAATCGAGCGCGCAAGATTTGATTACAGACAGACGTGAAAGCGAACTTAAGAAAAGTGTGTAATAAGTACCTATTAAAAAAGGTATAGAAAGGTTTTAAAAGTATAAAAAGTATTTCGTCGTCTTCACTAGGTTCTTTGCCGTATAACATTCTTTATCTTCAATATATAAAATATAGACCACAATAATAAAAAAAATATGAAAACTAAAATAGAATTCATATTTTATCTTGTTGCACTGGATGATCAGAAGTTGTTTAATGCAAACGAATTTATCTATATAATGTTATATATACGTCGTATATGAGTATTTCATCTCATCTTTGGCAATAAAGACCGGCAGTAATTTTGTCGATAACGTCATGTGGGTGTGAACGTGAAAATACGACAAAAGACAAATATATGTGCTATAAATAATAATATGCACTATAAAACTACAAATATGCATTAAATATGCATTTAATATGTAAAAACATTGAAATATGCAAAATACAATTAGCTTTATTTTAATAAGAATGATCTAAATCGGGGTCAATTCTCATCAGATTTCAAAAAGCTTATTTTAAGACATTTATGCATTTGCATATATAAATCCTGCCAGGACTGTCCCTAATCATTATAATAATAATTATTATTATTCGTTTGCACTGCATAATTATATCAAATATCATCATATAGTTCATCCGTTCGTCGTGTTCCAAATTGTATTTTATTGTCTACACATAAAACGGGTTCGTGACCTGATAACGATTACAACCGTTAATATAATTATCGCATAAGTACGAAAATACATATATAAATAGCATTATAATTATTATTATATTATATTAAGATTTAAGAGGCGTCGGTTTAACTAGTGGGACTAAGGAGGCTTAGTCCTCCAATACGAATTTACTTTTTAGCCCCTCATCCTTGATAAAAAAAAAAATCTATCATGAGTTCAAAGTGTAAAATAACTGGATAATAATTAATATTATTGTGGATGTACCATGACTCATGAGTTTACGTCTTATGACTGTATGAGGAGAATCAAAACATACATCAGGTCAACTATGATCCAAAACAGATTCAGTGATCTTACTAATTATAGAAAGATAATTTAATAATCATCTTAATAAGATAATCAATAATGATATTTTACAAACATTTAAAATACCTATATAAGTGGGCGTTATTCGCGTATTATACAGTTATAAAATGTATAATATTATAGGTACTTATTTTATTGTTTACATTTTATTTTTAACGACAAGAGGACGCTTATCTAGAAATTTGCTAGGCTAAATCGGTGTGAAAAAAACGCACCGGGATGTTTGGACCATATTATTATCATTTACATGGTTTATTATCTCAGTGTGGTATATAATGTGTGATAGTTTTAAATCGGTTTAGCCTAACTAATTTCTTGTATGGGAGTCTTTATGGTTTATTTTCAACTTTTAATTTTAAAGAATTCCTTGGGACTTCTAAGCTCTAGAGACGCATTTGATTGGGGTTATGGGGGGATTTTTTTTAACTTTACCTCCAACGACTTATTTTGAACTTAAGTTTTCTAGGACTCTAGCCCCTGAAACTATTAAATCCTATAGTCACGCCCAAGGCACGAAGCAGGTCGCTGGTTATAGTTGTATAAAATATATATAGGATAAATAATTATCAGCTCACCCGAGATCCACGAGAGTCGAGATTACATATTAGATTATAATCTACCGTGAAACAAACTATACTAGCTCGTTTCAGTATATTAATGCGGAGAACACAGAATTATTATTTATTATAAACAAGACTCATATCAAAGATCAAGCAATATGTTTACATTTGAAATAGGTATGGTTATTGGTTATACTAAATAGGTACATGTGTATAACTGTATAGTTATAACGTCCAAGACTTAAAAAACCTCCTAAAAATGGTTATAGAATGTAGGTACCCACTACCCAGCTGCGATTTATCTGAGTAAAGTCAAACTACCTATAATATTGTTTTAACAAGTTTACGAACTTAAATTGCATATTTTTTGGTTATGTAGGTAAGGTACCTAGCTATAGTTACGCTATTTATTCAAACGTACATTTTACAATTTTGTATTATCATAATTTTAAGTATAGACACTCGTTCTAGGTTATAAATATACTATGCTTGTTTGTAACGCGTAAAGCCGCGAAATCAATTAGCCATAAAAAATTTTTTTTTGCTTCTTATCATCAATAATGTATTTTATCAACACTATTAAGTGTAATATTTTACATCATTGAGCGTGAATGCACGTAAAGGAATTCAAGTCTTCAGAATTAATTATACGTAATGTCGCAGTAGAAGTTAGCCTTACGCCTTTACCCGCATAGTCCCATATTATAGATACCTACCTGCAATGAATTTACTTTCAACAGATAAAATTGTGACATCAGAAATAGCGATCTCGTATACGCACTATAACAGGCACGCCGATGGAAATAATACATTAATAATGAGCTGTTAAAACGTGACGAAAACGAACTAAACCCGTTAAAATACACATTCGCAGAGTACCTACACAATATAATAATATTATATACGTACCTAATAATAATAATAATAATATAATACAATATAATTACACATGCGAACGCGCGCTAGATGTTGTTATTACCTAGCTATAATATCTCAGCAAATCTGTTAGAAAACGAGTTTTTTTTTTCTCTCTAGTTTTACTTTATGTCATTGGCGACCGCGTCTAGCGAAATATTTTAATCCCCACAGACCGTCAACCCGACGAACCAATTCAATATAATAGGTTACGTCTATTGTGTAACGACGACGATGCTGTAGCCATTTATTTCACGTGCGCATCATTGTCACGCCACATCGAATACAAATGGATACGTATTATACGTAACGTATATTACCTGTATAATATAATATAAGCCATAAACGGCTTTCGATATGACATGCAGTATATATATATAAGTGTGCGGAGTGATATATTAAACTGGCTACACTAATTTTCCAAGTCCATTTTTTTTTTTGTTTTATGATAATAAATTATATAGTTATGGAAGTATTTATAACACTATACATTTTTGACCAATAATCTAATTTTTTGACTACTATATATTTACATAATATATATGCAATTTTGCCATATTTTTATATTGTTATATCGATGTAACCGAGCCAAATTGAAAACGATTGCAACATGGCATATAATATACCTACTGTTTAAAAATAAATAATTTACAACGGTTTCCTTTGATTAAATTGTGTACATATCAATAAGTTTTAGAAATGTGATGATTTTGTTGGATTTGTCTTGGATTGGGCTGCTTATTTTTGTTGTTTAAAATATATGATAAAGTGTATATTTACTGCTATTTACTAATATAATACGTGGTCTGAAAATAGTCGAAATTTCATATCCCCTTTCAAAAAAGCCGAGCTCGCCACTGCGACAGACGTGATCCAGGAATGGTCGGAAAAATTGTTAACGGTTCGCTGGGGGCTGTGGCGGTGCCGATCAACGCGTAATCACGCGATTACCGGAAATGTGTACGGCGAAGCACCGCCGATTCCGCGGAAATATAGTCGTCGAAACTATAGCGACCGGAAGTGAAACCCCGAAGTCCGCTGTTGGTCCTCGACTGTGACTACGCCCCAGCCAAGTCTGTTAATCGAACGGTTTGAGGTCGGCGTATGAATCGGTAGATTTGTACTTATTGTTGTAATAACGGTGGCGTGTGCAGGTCATAATATATAATTCATATATATTATAATTATTCGATAAATTGAGAAATAATGTAAATAAATAAATAGATATTATATAGCTAGTGTTGTAAATAAATCGCATGTTGTGCAAAATAAATCATTTCGAAAATGACCGTATGCTGATAAAAAAATCACTGGGTATAAAAAAAAATGTTACCCCCTCACGATAAGTTGTTGGGGGGGGGGGGCAGCGCGTTGAGTAAAATAATTAATGCGTGATTAATTGCTCACGCTTTATTATGTTAATATATTATTACGAAGTAAAATACAATTTCGTAATTATATGGAATCTCCGACATTTCATATCTACGATATAACTGTCTCACCAGCCCCAATTTTATAACAATATATTGTTATTAAAAAATTAATATAATAATTTAAATATTGCCTCGTTGACTCGT